GTTGATAACTAAATTGTCACTAATGATGCAATTCCTTCCTATTAGAATGGTTAGTTAAGCCAAAATGGTTTAAAGATAAATGTCTAATTGGAGATGGATTACTCTAATTGAGTCATATGATTTTGATGGAATTATGCATCATAAATTATCTAGATTCATTGAACTTCTTGCATATGGATTCAATTATTGTCTTTTAGGGTTAATGTGCTTGATAAGCTTAGGAAGCAAAAGAGACCCTAATATGGGTAAATTGTGAGTTGTTGATCTAATTGTCTTAACACATATTAAATGATGTTGAATGACAAAATTAGAAGGGAATCTCTATAAATACTTGCCAAAGGCTTCACTTATCAGCATCAAATCCATGTGCTCTTAATTCCTCTACCTTGGCTTGATAAGCAATTTTGTTAAAGTAGGATCTTAATTTTCTCTTGTGTAATCCACTCTACCTCCTTGCCAATATTTATTGGTTATTGGAATCTCATGCATCATCTCTTGCGTAACCAATGTTATAATTAAACTATCTACTCCTCTCATTCTATGATGTGATTATCTTCTCAAAGACTTCAAACCATAATAAGGGGTTGCAGGGTTATTTTCTCCTACTTATTTTGCCTAGTTTCTAAATTTGAAAAGAAGGCTTAGGGGTATTTTAATATCCAAATCGTGTAAGGATTCAACTAACATTATCATTGTGATACAAAAATATGATTATTAGTTTAGAGAAAGGTTAGATTATATATTCAAATTAAATTTTGATCAATGTTTTTAAATATTATTATTTTTATTTTAAGATGAGAGTAATATATGAATAATTTATAATATACTATCTCTAAATCATAGTTTAAAATTGCGTAATAAGAGGCACGCCTCAAGGCACAACTCTGTGCAATTTGACCCTAAATAGCTTCATTGCTTAAGCAATTTTGGGGCTTGATGAGGCTTATGTCTCACGGTGATTGAGGCACACCTCAATGGAGTTATTGCGTAGTTTGGAATGAGGCGTACACAATAAGAGATCGTCCCACTGACTTAAGTTTATAATAAAAAAACCCCCTTTCTTCTTCCTTCTACCAACTTACCCGAATTGAATGAAGACCTCCGACAAGAAGTTCACAGACACCGGCTCTCCTGCATTATCCCAGCCTTTCCGCCGCCTCTCCTGCCGGTGCCGCCTCACACTGTTGAGCCTCTTGTATCCGGCGGCCCTCTACGACACTTCTTCAACCAGTCTTAGGGTTTTGTTTTTAATTAAATGTATGATTTTTCAACTTATAGAAAGTCTATGGTTTTGAAATTTTTTTAGATTTCTTGTTTTATTTTGTATTTCTGCTTTATGAAATAATGTTAAGGGCAATAAAAAGTCTAATACGTCATTGCAGATGGACCATTCTTTGAAATATAGTGTACAAGTTGACGTCGGTGGTGGTGAGAAGACTTACATGTATTTGAAATATAATTTTTATGATAAAGTGGTGAAGGGAGAAGTTATTCATATCAAAAAAACACTTATCCGACTCTCATAAAAATATAGCACCGTGTGCAAATGTGTCAGTTAAGGTGAAGGATGAAATTACTGCTTACATGAAGAAGAGTACCATTAAAAAATATTTATAACAGAAGCAATTTGATGAAGGGGTCGAACAAGGTGCTTACTATGGGAGTGAGAGTGAAAAGTGCTCTTCCTACACTATACATGTTCCTGGGGTCCTATGGACCAATATATGATTAATCCAGGAGAGGATAGAGGACAAGAACAGATGATGCCTGTAGCTGGTACCAGAGAGGGTCGACGTCAGGTTTGCATGGATATTGACAGATTCCTTTTTGAGAATGTCATTCCATTTAATGTTGTGACATTATTAGCCTACTTTAATATGTTGCTATCTATAGGGTTGTATGGGAGAGCGTAGAAGGCACCTTCCATGTATGAGTTATGAACATAAATTTTTTAAGGAGGAGCTACAGAACACATAGTAGAGTATTGATGAGATTAAACAAACATGGAGTGAGACTGGTGTTACCATTATGTCAGATGGACGATCTAGCATAAAGAGAAGGAGCATAATTAATATTCTTATAAATAATCCCTTTGGCATAATATTTTTACGATCAATTGAAGCTTCTGATGAGGTTAAAAATGCTAATTTCATTTTCAATTTATTATATGGGGTTGTTGAGGAGATCGAGGAGCAATTGGTTGTTCAGGTGGTGACTGACAATGCCAGTGCATATAAAGCAGCTGATCAGATGTTGATGGAGAAGAGAAAACACCTCTATTGGACCCCTTATACGGTGCACTGTATTGATCTCATATTGGAGGAACTTGGTGATCTATCTCAACATAAGAGTGCCCTTTCTAGGGCGAAGAAGATCACAAAATTAATCTACAATCACTCATGGGTCTTAGCTTTAATGAGAAAGTTCTCGAAGAAGGAAATAATTTGCCCTACTACCACTAGGTTTGTTATTACATTTATATACTGCAAAGCATTTTCAATCTCTAATGCAAGTTGATTCAACAAGTTTGTCACATCTTATTTGACACTGTAGAGCATGCTGGATGTTAGTCATCCTCTTCAAGTCATGTTTTCATCGGCACAATGACTTAATTATGTGTGGAGCAAGAAACTTGAGGGGAAGGAAATACGAATGTTATTTCTAAATAATAGCCATGGGTTTTTTACATAATGCAATGAATGAGGTAAAGGAGTTGATTACAAACAACTTGAGAGGAGAGGAGGCTAGTTATAGAAAGATTTGGGATATCATCGATGCTTAGTGGGAGGTCCAATTACACCATCATCTATATGCAGCGGTGTATTATTTCAATCCATGATTTTAATATTTAGAGGGAAAATCCTCAAATCCAGAGGTGAAGCTGAGCTTGTATCATTGCATGAAGCGGCTAATACTGGACTAGACTGTTAAGGAGCTTGTAGATTTAGAAGTTGTTCTATTTTAGAACAGGGAGAAATTTTTTGGTTTGCAAGCAACAAAATCTACTATTGCCAAACACTCTCAAGGTAAATTCATTTTTGTAAAGTATTCGTACATGCATAACACTTTAATATATTATGATTATCATTTTTCTTCTTGAAAATAATTGAATAATGGATACAATTTGGTGATTCCACCCCTTAGTTATAGATTTTTATAGTTAGAGTTTTGGGCCTCACTTGTTCTTCCTCTAGGTGTGATCAAAATTGGAGCACATATAGTCAAGTGCAGATAAAGAGAAGAAATCAACTTTCAATACTCAGAATGAACTCCCTTATATATATTATGCATAATAAGAGGTTGAGAAATAGGAGGTTGAGGAATAAGGGTTTGAAGGATAATAAGGACCCTTTGGTGTGTGATGATATGACACATGATAATGAGTGGTTCATACATGATGCGACAGATTTGTCATTATCAGACATGTAACTAGAGGATCTAAGTGTGGATGTCTTGAGGGGCGAAGCATATCAAGTGGGCACATCCACTAGTACCACACCACACACATCCACTAATTTTGCAGCACAATAAGCAAATAAAGATATCTCACAATTTCTTATGTGATGTTACATTTTAAATATATTTAATTAACGGTACACTAATCATTCTTATTGAATAGGGAAGAGAAAAGTGGGTAACATTTAAGATGATGAAGATTTGACATTCATAGATACAATTAGAGAAAAAGATTCCCTTGAAGACCCATTTAGTAATGTGACATTATTGGATTTTAGATGTTCTTTCTTATTTGTACTTTGGGAATTTTGATAGACTTATGTTTATGATTTTATACTTTGAATTATGCTATGAGATGCATATATTATTTCTATTTTATTATTTCCACTAATTTCACTTCTCATTTAGATGTTTTTATTGTATGTTAAACTCTTACTGTTATTTACCTGCTAAAATACTTAAATTCTCATTTAAGCAATTCTTCATCCGTGAGGCTTATGCCTCACACTGCCTCGAGGCTTACGCCTCACCTCACGGACGAAAAATGCTTTGAGGCTTATTTACGCAATTTTAAACCTTGCTCCAAATAGTTATATTATACTCTTTGTAAGCTGGTCTAAGATCCCCATCAAGACACTACTCTCCTCTTCTCATTAGAGCGACCTCAAATCAACTTTTCATTTCATGATAGTCCATTCTCCTTACCACACTCCAACGATACTCAACTCTTTACATCTTAATAGGGGATCTTAGACTAGCTTCCAACCAATATCGATGGGTTTCCATAAGCTCACTTAACTTGCTCTTATCAATTGTCATCCCACTCGACATCGACGGCTAAACTATAATAAAGACTTTTGAGACAACCATCATACTCATGGCATATTTCACATACCTTTCTAAGCCTTATAAAAGAAGAGCAAGAGGAACATAAAAAGGGCAAGAGAACATACAAAAAGGGATATAAGACAACACACAAGAAAGTTCATGATCAAGCCTACAAGAGAAGAGAGATGTCGTGTCATTTTCCTTGCTTAAGCTCTGTAGCTCAGAGCTTTGGTTTTCATTACTCTTGTATCTCTAGTTTGGATAAAAAAGATTTTGTCTAGATAATCATCATTTCTCATCTTCTCTCTTTTTTCTCATCTTCAAACTTTATCACATTCTCCCCCATAGGCTCTGAGTAGCACAAAGAATGGCTCGACATCATCCAGTGGACAAAATAAGGTTCAAGACTTTGTGTCCACTTTTTTATTCGATGAAGAACACGTCCATGCAATTATAATTAAAAGTAGCTATAAAGTCCTAACAAAATAAAAATATTAAATTATTATGAATTATATATAATAGGTGCCGTGATCATATTAACAAATTTAGCAATGAAAATATATTTTTCTCATATAAAAATTTGAATCAAGAAAACAATAACCTACCAACTAAATTCGGATCGACCCGAAACGCCGCATCTAAAGCCGTCTGTCGACAAGAACCATGCGAGGTCGACACGTATCGCGCAAACACTTCACACACATCCCATTCTCCTCCGTCGGTACTCGGTCGTAAATTTCAAGCCAGCACTGATGCTGATGCAGAGTGAAATCTCATCTGCTCCGAAGGTCCCATGGTTATCCAAGCCAATATTCACCGTCATCATCGACGTTGCAAAGCTTTTCGAACTAAGGCACGTCATCTCACTTTTTAACTTTTATCCACTATTTTATTCCTAGGGTACTAATAAAAAAACCTCGCCTTGCTTTTATCACAGAGCTTTATGGGTCTCCAGTTTTTTCAGTTCGGATAACTGTTGTGGGTGAAAAATTAGGGTTAGAGCCTTCGGCTAGATGCAATTTCCTACTGGGGAATGCAGAAGGCAACGGTGCCCAGAAGTTCAGCGTATCTCACCGCGCTATCTCAGGAGATCGAGAGGAAGCTCCAAAAGGTGAGATTTGTTTTTATGATCAACTATTTCATTGCGCCGCATCAGGAGTTCAAGAGAACCCTCCAAAAGGGGAGCTTTTTTATTTCTGATCGAACTATTTGTAACCGAGTTCGTTTTTGGGGCTCGATTTGGCTGTTACGAATGAAGGTCATGAGAATTGACTGGAAAACCAAAATGGATATGTTGGGTTTGGAATTGGCTGTCTCTAGTTTTTATTTTGTTGGTGGAAGAGATCGTGGTTTGATGTATTTGTCGCTACTGCCTTTCCAGGCACTGAACATTCCGTCCCACAGGCTTGAACTGTTGCAGCAACTGTTTGCTGATATAGCGCTAGAGATTGATGATCGAGCAAGAGGTACGGCTTTTCCTTTTAGAAATTAAAATAAAAAATGAAGGTTTTTTGATATGACGTTGCAAAGTTGTATGGATAGATGTGTTTATTTCAATTAGTTCATTTAGGCTGTTCTGCTAGTGACATGGATTTGATACAAAGAAGTGTCCTGCCGTATGACACAGAAATTTTAGTGAAAATCTATGCTAGTTTGATGTTTTTATTCGCCTGTCTAAGTAGTACTTTGGGTTGTTCCTAAACATACCAGCCTACCAACACATCTTCACGCAACAAAGAGAAGAGTAATGAGAGAGTTGGTGCGTTCATATCAACTATATTAGCATACCAACACTAGTAAACCACCAAAAATATTTCTTATTCTACTATTTTTTTCTCTATCCATTGTTTCTTGCATGTTATTGAACTAAACATCGATGTGCTTTCTTATTCAAACATTCATTATGTGCCATGCAAATAGGTGAATCATGATTTCACTTCCACATTTATGTGTTAGCAGAGATTTGTATGTGCAACATGCTATAGTTTTTGTATACTTTATGTATTTAAAATCTGTCAAGAAATATATGTTTCTACCAAATCAACCCTTCTAATTTATCACGTGAATATTGATAGAGTGATTTGCTTGAGATATTTGATAATTGATGGCTGTGAATGCCTTATTATTTTTATTTAATTGGAAACAGAAATAATTCTTAGCAAGGGTGAAGATGCTGATGCAGATGAAATTACTGAAAGCAATTTATGCTTTTATGATGTTCTGGCAAACCATTTTCTCATTAAGCCTGAAAATGGGCAGAGCATTCTTAATTTGATCGTTCTACTATGGAGCCAATCTTTTGCTTCACATATATTTGCCCTCCTTTTCCATAAATGGGTATGTCTCTACGGTCAAATTCTTGTTATAAAATCATCTAATTGCTTTGCATTTATTTTTTGTGATTGAACCGATGTTGTTGGGACAAGGCTTTGCCAACGGTGATGATGTGATCTTATTGTTCATCACAGATGAATTTATCTTCTTTTTTTTTTTCTCTTTTCAATTATGACAGACAAAGCTGTTCAATTCTTAGTTCTTTTTGTTTTCTTTAATTAGATTTGCCTTATTTTGTTTAAAAGGTTCTAATGTTGATTTATAAATTGGGATGATTACTTATTTCCATAAAAGCACAAAATTTTCATTTATCTTTTGAAAGATTTGACTATCAAAGCAATTCAAATGCCCACAATGTCTCCAAAATAATGACAAGCTTTTATTTCTTGGGATATTATAATTATCTGGAATTGTTTTAAGTTATAATTATCAGGTTACATACCAAAATGTGACAAATAAATGGAAAATACCATGGGTTTTCTGAAAGTGATGTTTTAACCTTTGTTGGAAATTATGGTTTATTTACTGTTGCGTTGCTTCAATATTTCTCTTATTGTGATTCATCTGGGAAACATATGTTGGAAGACCCTACCTCAGCTAATGCTGACTCCATTGCATCTTGACCAGGAAGAATGCAAGAATGAAATTGTGGAGCATTTCTGCATGAAAGCCTGGTCTGCCTTATGTCGGTAACATTAAAGTGGTATTTTAGTGCTTGATTTGATTGATGAGGGGAGAGCATATTAGTTATTTTAATATTTATAATATGTCTACTTAAGCTTTGAAAGCTTTTAGTTCATGGATAAATACACTCTATACATAATAATTCATCTTTGAAATATGTTGTTTTCAAGCAATTCCAGATAATTTCTTGTTAGTGGAACGTTAAAAATCTTTTATGACACAAATATATGTGTTTGTTTTCTCTTCATTTTTGAGATTATGTAATTCTGTAATTGCTTTGTGTTTGATTTATATATATTTGCAATATTAAAAGTCAACAATTGTAGGAAAACAAAGCTGCCTCTCTGAAGTAGTGAAAACAGTCGATTACTTGTATTGTTTTGTTTCCCTTCTTCAATGAGTCCTTACCCACAAGCTTTGCTCTCAATTTACAGTTATTTGAAGTTCCTATTGAAAATCCTGAAGCTCTCTTGCGATATGGTTCTGCCCTTGTTCAAGGTGCAACTAATGTCTTCTGGTATGCAAGTTTATTTTAGATTTTGTTATATTAGCTTTTTTAGCAGATTTTTTATATGCCTGGTCTTGGAAAACAATACTTTCTAGTTTATTATTATCAACGAGAATGGATCTTGGATTATTCGTGTTGTGCAACAACATGTGGTCTAGCCTCCTTGATGAACACCGCAGTCTTCACTCTATGCCTGAATTTTTTTTTCACCCCAAGAGATTTGATACATATCAAATCCATTATCCTTGTCAGCATTGCTATCCGGCAGAACATTGGACCTAACCACCTTGCTGATTTCATGTATATGTGCTTGTCATGCCACATGAGATGTATGCTATTTTATGATATTGCTTGGGGTTAGATTAATCTCCCTCATAAATAGTGGATCCTTGTGTTAGATGTTTGATGAAGATTAAAGCTGATAGGTTGAGCACTGACAATCTCTACATTGCTCATATTGTAATTGCATAATGACATCATTGTTATTTTTCTAGGTTTCTTGTTGATCTAAGTATATTAAGAGGACTAAGTCAAGAGGGTTGTCATCTTACTGGCTTGGTTGATGTTAGGGACCCATGTTATAATATTGAGGCCTTTGCCATTGTTGTAATCTCATATCATCATGTCCTCCTAAATATCAAGTTGGTAATAATATATCTATGTTATAGAGTATGCTTTTAACTATTCATTATATTAAATGCAAGCAATCACGGCAGCAATGATGGGAGATGTGTTTTAGTTGAAAGCTTTACATTATGTATTTGAGGCTTGGTTAGTTTTGTAGTTATGAGCCTCTTTGTGTACTGGAGACCTTTTGGATATTGGATGTCTAGGCACGTTGAGTTTACTTTTATTGATATGTTTAGTCATTGGATTTTGAATAATTGTTCTGGGGATCTACTATGATTTTGCTTTTTCAACATTGAAAGGCTTAAATTTTTATCATTCTTTTTGGCTTGAAAAAATTTAGTTCTAACAGTGAAACTTTTTGTTTTTTTTTTTAAAATGTAAATTTGGGTTAAATTACTATGCTTCCTGCAAGTTAATCAAGGAATCATAACAAACAACTTTGTCTTTCCAAGGCATAACATCTTATAATATCCACATCAATAGTAGACTCGATTTCATCATTTATAATAGCTTCAGAAATAAGGTGGTTAGATTTGTCTGATAAGATACTTGATGTGAATTTACAAGTAATTTGAAAAAAGAATAATTCATTATATTTCTTGCTGTTAATTTTTTAAAATTTCATGTAGAATTAACTTAGCCCTTGATTTATATTCCACGTTTCCTATTCAAATAACAGTAGACATATAATTTTCATAGTTAGCCTTTAATTTTCTATGAATATATTCACACAAATCAGACATATTACATGAATCGTTCAATATGAAACAAGTAATAAATACTAGGTATGTGTCCTTATGGACAATAATAATAATATTTTTCCTCATCTTAGATGATGAGATAATAACAAAATTGAAAACAGACAAACTACACAAATTTGATGTCCCTATAGTGATGAATAACCATTTTAAAGAATAATGACTCAAATGACTTTAATATTAGTGACAATAGTTTTTTTTTTTTACATTCATCCAGATGGATGTAATTTTAAAGTTTAAGTTTTTCTTAAGGCCCCTAGTTAAGAAATTTTGTTGAAATATTAATGCATTTTAACCTCATTAATTTTTTATTTATGAATTTTAAGTCTAGGACTCAAGAATAAAATAAATCAATAAAAATCAATCTTAGTTTGATTGCTAGAAATGACCTTGTTAGAATTTTTCATTTATAGTCAAAATAAAGTAAAATATTTTTCTAGGATTAGATGGGGGCATTTAAAGAGCACTCACAAAAATATTTTTGAGAGTCAGATTTTAAATCTTAAGATTTTATCTATGCATGATGAAGCTAATGTTATGTGGGAAAAAGTGACTAGTGATATTAAGAATGTTATAAAAGATGTGCTTGAAGTATTATAAGAAAAAAGTTTTTAATAATAAAAATAGTCGGTGGTGGAATCAAAATGTGCAAGAAAAGATAAAAAAATATAAAACTTTGTTATGAAAATTGATTAGATGCAAAAATTATAAAATTGAGAAAGATATAAAGATGCATGTAAGAGGTTTATAAAGCAATATGAGATGCAAAAATCATAGCTTTAATGATTTATTAATAGATTAAATATTAAAGAGGGAAAAAGGTATATATATATAAAGTTAGTCAAATAAAGATATATGAGTAGTAAGGATTTAGTTCAAGCGAAGTGCTTTAAGGATAAAAGTAAAAAAAGTTCTTTTATTAGAAGAGGATATTCAACAAAGGTTGATAATATATTTTGCTAAGCTTTTCAATAAAGATTTTGAGAATACGATTGACTTTGGTGACCTTAGCACCCCAAATAAAAATAGAGATTTTTGTTTTTATCTGAATTTAAGTAAAATTAAAGGTAGAGCGGCTTTACAGAAAATTAAGTGTGGAAAAATTGTTGGACCTGATGATATTTCAATAGAGGTGTGGAAATCCTCAGGAGATGAAAGAATTTATTGGCTTATTATACTTTTTTATATTATTTTAAAGGCTAAAAATATGTCAGATGAGTAAAAAATGAGTAAGTTGATTCCTATTTTTAAGAATAAAGGTGATTCACAAGATTGTGCGAATTATAGAGGAATTAAGTTAATGTGTCATACTTAAAGCCGTTGAAGAGAGTTACAGATGGAGCATATGCTACGATGGGATACTAATGTTTCTCAAAATCAATTTGGACTCATGACGGGTAGATCTACTATGGAAGCAATTCAGTTGTTGAGAGGTTTGATGGAGAAGTATAGAGAGAATGAGTATCTATTTATGATATTTATTTATTTAGAGAGCATATAATTAATTTCCAAGAGAAGTTCGATGGGGAATTCTAGAAAAAAAGGGGTTAATAATACTTATATTCAAGTCATTAAGGACATATATGCAATAGTTGTTACTTGTATTCAAACACAAGGTGGTTTGTCCAAGTTTTTTCTTATTTCAATTAGATTACATCAAGGAGTAGCTTTAAGCCCATATCTTTTTGCTTTATTCATGGATGTTCTTACTACACATTTACACGAGGATTTACCTTATTGTATGTTTTCTGCTAATGATATTCTTTTTGTTGATAAGACTAGAGAGGGAGTTGAAGGTAAGCTTGAATTATGGAGGTTAACCTTAGAGTCTAAAGGTTTTCATTTGAGTAGATCTAAAACCAAATACATGGATTGTAATTTTAGTAGTAATCTATGTTGCACCGATACGGATACGACGACATGGATACGACACGATACGGACACGGGACACGCCAATTCTTAAAAATACAGGATACGAGTACAGTGCGGACACGTCATTATAATTTATAAATTATACATAAAAATTAAGAAAACAATCAAAGCATAATATTTGAAATTACAAAATAAAAATGAAAGCAACATCATTTGTAGCTTATAATATCAAAATAAAAGTAAGCCTTAAATGTCTACTACAACAACAAAAGCATAAACATAAATTTTCTAGCACATGTAGTTTCAAATATTCAATAGGAATGATATGATTAGCTTCTTCAGTGGTTTGTCTTTGAATTTCTATATCATCTTCAATAAATATCATAGCTTTTAATTAAGGCTCATGAAGTAAAAGATTTGCAATTTCTAATATTCCCATACCATTAAGAGACTCAATTCCATCTCGAAAATGAGAGAACCTCGCTCGTAGCGCTGAAGTATATACGATGCTGTTGACCCGTCTTTATCCCAAAACAAAAAAAAAATCAAAAAAATCAAATATCTTACCTACTCTGCCATCCCACGTCGAGCCGTTCACTCGCATGTCGCGGACACGACCGCGACACTTCTCCCACGTCGCCTGCACGATACATTCGCATCGTTAAAAGGGAGAGGAAACGAAGGCCGGTTGTTGGTTCCCTCTGTCCCTCACACGCATCGCTGCTTCGGCTCCTTCGTGTCATTTCGTCTACGCTCCAGCGCCGACTTTCCCTCCCAATCGATCGAAAGTTACGATACTTTGATCGGAAGAGACGACTGGAGCTCGTCGACTGTGAAGCAACTTCCTCCCGTTCGCACGCTTCTCCGGCTCTTCCGTGGTCGATCGACTTTGCTCCTCCGACGTCCCTTCCCTGTCGAATCGAAGGCTCCGACCTTTCGATCAGAACCAGCGACGGGAGTCGCTCACTGTGAGGCTTAGACGCGGCCGTCCGACTTTGCTCCTTGACAACTTTCCATTCCGGTCGGATCGGAAGTTATACATTTCAATTAGAAGTACGACGGGAGCTCGCCGATGTGAAGGTAACTCTGTCCCCTCTCACGCGCATCTTCGGCCAAATCCTTTGAATCCGTCGAACAGAGGGATTATTTTTATTTTTATTTTTTATTATATTATATTATATGAAATTGTACCTGCAAAGACTCTAGAAAACTTTGAACACTCATTTGAAGATACCCTTGGGCTCAAGTTCAAATATACTAAGTGTGGAAGACACTAAAATTGAACAAGACTTGGACTGCAGAGGACTTATACCTGAACTTGCATCCTGGACTCAAATTGAACATTAATGACTTGAGCAATTCGAACTCAAGCGAGTACTTGAGTTGGACTACAAGGGACATAGAAATGAGCTTGCACATTGAAGCTCATGAACTTGATTTGAACTGGACTTAGAAGGGTTCAGATTTGAGCCCGATTTGAACATCGTTGGCCCCTCACATTCGACACCAATCAAATTACAACACCTCTTACAGATGTATTCAGTGTAGCATACAACGAATGTAAATGCCCGCTAGCGCCAGCAATCATTCGACCGAGAACAAATACATAGAGCTCGTGCAAGCATAAGGTGATTGATTGGCACATTAAGTGCAAATACCTACGAGCCCTTGTAGGAGGCCCGTTGTATGTTCGACACATGTTTGTGGGCAAAATGTGAAATATTTGCAACATTTCACAAATATGTACGA